AATTCAATAGGCTGTTAGAACAAACCACATTTTGAGGTTTCAGATTCTGATCTACCATCACTAACGAGTTTAAATAAACCACAGTTTCCTGGTTTGGATGTCACGGGGAACTTGAAAATATTGAAAATAGATAGAATATTCACAGTAGCGTGCATAAAATAATAAGGGTGAATATTTCAGAATATGCTTCTCGCAACTTTGTAGCAATAGGTCCCCAATTTATTATCATCCCTTAGGAAGTACTACAGAGATTATTAACAAACAATTCCACCCACAGGCTTAAAATTTAGATGAAAGACACAATACAAAAGGAAAAAGGAATGGAGAGGGACAAGGAAAATAAGCAAATTTGGGTCCAATTCTTATAGTTATGTAATTGCCTTTCTGGTGACCAGCTGGAATAGCTGCTGAGGAAGTAGTTTAGAAACAAAATTCTTTATGGTTTCAAATAACTAGGGATCTGCCAGACAGATATGCTAACCTCAACAAAAAGGTCACAAGTTGTATATAGTGGTACCTCTGGTTAAGACCTTAATTCGTTCTGGAGGTCCATCCTTAACCTGAAACTGTTCTTAACCTGAGACACCACTTTAGCTAATGGGGCGTCCAGCTGCCACCACGCCGACGGAGCACAATTTCTTTTCTTACCCTGAAGCAAAGTTCTTAACCTGAAGCACTATTTCTGGGTTAGCAGAGTCTGTAACCTGAAGCACCTGTAACCCGAGGTACCACTGTACTAACGAAACCATTTTTTCATCCTTCGACAAAATCGTTTAATGGTGCTATATAAATAAAGATTGTAAAATACAAGGTACTTTAAGCAGGATGAGGCACAAGCAAGTGGTCCCTCATACTTCCTATCCAAATTATAATCTCCCTTGGTTTGTCACAACTGTCCCTTAAAATCTAAAGCCATTCTCTTGCATTCAAGTCCCACACTATAACGTTCTTTCCTTGAAAGGCTAGGGTGCTCACTGCAGCTCTGTAGTCACACAGCTGTTTCCCTAGAAGAAATGTGTTGGACAAGCTTACTCTGCTAGCCTGCGCACCCTAACTGGGCTAAAGTTGGATGAGGAAAAACAACTGTTTTTGTTGTTCCATTGTCATCATTACTGGATTCCCTCAAGAAGAGCTCTAGCCAACACTTGAAAAATGAGAATCTTATTGGATTAAAGTCTCTCCGCTAGAAGGATATCATCAGTTAGACCTACCTGCTGCTGCCCCAATGGATCACTGAAAAATACTTTCTGCTTTCAAAAGGAAAAACAACAACAAACATTGCACTATGTTGTTTAGGAGGCTACATCTCTGCCTTGACAATGAGAACAAGAGAGATGCAATTGTAAAAATTACATGAAGAACACTTTCAAACAAGCCCGGCCTAAGACCTTTTGATGCCTGAGGCAAAGGACAAGGTGGCACCCCTTCCCAAATTCATTTACAGAAGCTGACTGGACTGGCGGTCGAATCTCACTTCATCCTTTGTGGCTGGATAACATTCTCCACCATACCTGAGGCAGCAGCCTAGAGATCAAGGAGCCCAGGAGAGGTCATGGGCAACAGAGGGGACAGAACTGGAGCCTCCGGAGCAACAGATAGAGTATCTGCCGCCTAAGGCGGCTGCCTCACTCTGCCTAACATAGGGCCGGCCCTGCTTGCCGAGAAGCAAAAATTTGGCTTACTCTTTTGTGATTTGTTTGGTTCAAATACAATTAGGATGCAATTTGTGGGGGAAAATATTAAATTATTTCATAACATTTATACACGGCTTGATTGGGAGGGAATCTTATGCCAGCAGAGCACAAGTGTTTTCTGTTTGGTTTCTTCTGCCATTGCAGAACCATACTATACAACCCAGAATGTTTAGTAGGACACACACTATGCAGAGGCTTTTTTTGGAGGGTACGCAGGGTTGCAAGGGGGATGAAGGAAAGGAAAAGACCCTCTTTGTAAGCTTGCCTTCCACTTGTGCAAAATTTGATACCACCAATAATTTCTAACACACAGCTGCAACTCGCAATAAAAATGCTATATACGAAAGTAGACTGTGGTCACTTTCACACAAATTATGACTTCAAGAAGCCCCAGAACTACTGTGGGATTTGAGGCAGTGTATACTTTGACTATCACTTAAGGGCATTTGAATATTCCTAAAATAGAACAGTTGCACACTGCAATAGTTATTAACAACAAGCGATCATCTGACCATGCCCTAAACTATCCCCAGGATATAATCTCTAGGAACATCTCAATGCAAATGGGCCATTTAGTAAAAATAAGCATTACAAATGTCATTCCTGAAAATTTAGGACAATGTTACATTTTCAGTGGACTGTCTAAATTCATGCAAGCTAAAGAAAACAATACTAACAGCCCATTTTCTTTTTAAAATAGGAAAGCAAACTATTCTATCTATCTCTCCTGCTTTTCTGATAATCTGCTGGTGTGCTTGAGAGAGCTGTGCATTTCTCAGTATTAACAAAAAGCGTACCAGCAGATTATAATCAAAATACACAGCTTTGTTAAACATTGATTCTTATTTAGATATTGCCTGAAGGTTATATCACTGTTCTGCTACCAACACTCACCTTAGTGAGCTCAATTATTTGAGGCAAAAGAATATTCTATTCCTGAAACATGCACATACATATTGTGTTGGATAACAAAACCATTCTTTAAAAAAGCAGCTCCCTTCAAAGGAACAGATTTATTGCAAATTAAACCCTCTCATACATTGGGGTCACAACTGAAATCAAAGGGTATGGAAACCATGAAAAACTCTCCGCTTCAACTCTGTTACTTCAGTGAGTATTCTTCTACATTTAAAGTTTATTGGGGTCAATCAGAGCCCAAGTACACTGAATGAAGGGAAAATGAAACACTATACATCCAAAGCATTAGAGTCTCAATGACCCCAACACAATGAAAACTTTAATGAACAAGACAATAGCTTCCTTGGGTTGACTGGAAAGATAAAGGCAGAGTTAATTTCCCCCTTTTTATTTATTTATAAAAACATCGAGGAGGTTTTCTGTTAAAGAAAAGGTATATGAATGCCAGTTTTACAAAGAGAAGTGGAAAGGCAGTGGCAAAGTAAGCATCTTCATTTATATTCATTCACGGCACCTGTCCCACCTATAACACAGGAAAGGGGTGGGCAGCAGACCCCCAATTCCTATATTCAGGAATTCACATCGTCACTTCTATTAACCATGGGCTATCTCTACATCTGTGATGAGCTAGATGGGAATTCAGAAAGCTTTCATTATAAAAACAAAAAGGAAACAGCAGCCACAGATATCTGGCCCCTGTGGTTCATTGGGGGGGGGGATTGAAGATAATACACTATAGACAGAAATCTCAGAATTGTAGAATTGGAAGGGACCCCAAGGATCATATAGCCCAACCTCCTGTATTGCAGGAATCTCAACTAAAGCATCCATGACAGACAGCCATCCAACCTCTGCTTAAAAACTTCCAAGGAAGGAGATTTAACAACATCCCGAGGGAGACCATTCCACTGTTGAACAGCTCTTACTGTCAGAACGCTTTTCCTGATGTTTAGTCAGAATCTCCTTTCTTTTAACTTGAAGCCATTGGTTTGAGTCCTACCCTCCAGGGCAGGAGAAAACAAGATTTTTTCCTCTTTGCGACAGCCCTTGAGATATTTGAAGATGGCTATCAAATCTCCTCTCAGTCTCCTCTTTCCCAGGTTAAACATACCCAGCTCCTTCAACAGTTCCTCACAAGTCATGGTTTCCAAGCCTGGTCTTTGGGTAATTAAACCATCTATGGCCTTTTAAATGGGGGGGGGTGTGTTTTTGGTTGTTAATATGTTGTGTATTTTTTGAGTTTTTATATTGTGAACCCCCCTTATGATCCTCGGATCATAAGGGGGGTTCACAATATAAAAACTCAAAAAATGCACAACATATTACATAAGGATCATAAGGGCTGTATAGAAATTCAATAAATAAATAAATAAATAAATAATAAATCAAATAATCAATCCATCAAAGAGAAAGACTTGCTTTAGTGTGTGTGTGTGTGTGTGTGTGTGTGTGAGAGAGAGAGAGAGAGAGAGAGAGAGAGAATATGCTCCTAAAGTTTCTTCGTCAATACCAGATGATTAGAATTCATTCCCCAGAGATGACTTTCATAGCTTCTTGTCAACTTTCTTTGATCTTGGGGAATCAGCTTTTACAGTTATATTTTACTCCTATAGTACTTTCCCATTTTAGTGGTCCTTTGCAACAAGTAACTTCTTTTTAAAAAGTAAAAGCCAGCTAACAAAAAATTGCAAGTTTTGCTACTATTTCTTAGGTAAACCAATTTTGTAAAGCAATTTAAGCAAAGTCTGAAGCACATCTGAGGCATACAGTTCTCTAGCAACTACATATTCTGTCTTCAGCTTCTTAACCCCATATATGATGCACTGTACCATACGTTTGATATGGAATTTACAAGCTTTGGCATAAAAGAAAAGAGGTTGCTGAACAGAGATCTGGACACGGCAGCCTGCACAAAGAGCACCCAAGTAGAGTGGTGTGTATTAGGAGAGACAAGAATGGAAAATCTGATGGTTCTCCTCTCCCTGATTCTGCAGTGCTGAATCAATGATTCTATGCCTGATAAAATTACAATGTGATGGAGTAACAAACAGATTAAAAAGGCTGCTAACTAATCCATCATCACAAAGTTCCCCTGAAGGGGTCAGAGAAAGTAGAGGCTTTTATTACTATTTTAAGTTGTGGAATACTATTCACTAAAAAACAACAGCAGCTGAGGAATGCTACACTATATTAAACAGCTTGTAGTTCTTAGGCAATGCAGGGATGTGCTTGAATTAAGATAAGCTAACACCCAACATTAAGAAACGTTTAGAGAGTGCTAAGATATAGTACAAAAGATAAAGGAGGGTAATTGGGGGGGGGGCGAATACACACATCAATGAATGTGCATCACCATCATGACCACCTTCTTTCATTTTATTCATCCAGTGCTGCACTGGCACTAGATGTGTATCCTTTATCGAACAGAAGCAAAAGCACTAAGCTCTCTGCCTGCCTTCGGATTTAGTCCAAATGAATGCAAACCATCACGTGGGACCCAGCCAAGCAATGACGTGAAATTCTGCTCTGTCAGAAGACAGCATCTGTCAAAGCCCACATTTAAACTGCTGCTTGCCTGTGCAGCAGCTGAAGAACTATGGATTGGATTTTGCTGAACAAAACCTTAAGCTAAAAGCTTTCCCCCCCACCCCTCGCTTCAAGTCATCCCTTTCGGTTACTGCCTAGCAACAATGAAGGAAGAGGGGTAAATCCCGTTATCAAATGCAAGCCAACAGTTCCAGCTTCTAGCTCATGCTGTTCTGCCTGGCATCACCACTAGAAATATGGATACTGAAGAGAAAACAGAGCACTGCATTGTCCAGCAAGGGAAACACCAACTGTAAAAGCGTCAATGCTTCCATTGTCAGAAGCAGACAATACCAGTCGGAATGGAGGCAAGAAATGCTGCTTCTGTCTCTTGAAAGATGACCGGAGAAAAACCAAGGCAAACACGCTGGTGAGGAGGGAAGGTAGCGGAGCAGGAAGCATACAGATGGACACACTGGATACCGTGAAAAGCAGTCGCAGGCAGCAGGCTGCTGGAGGAGAGATGTGCGCATGGCCGATAGCATCTTTTGGGCTGAAGGGATGGCGTGCCAAAACTACTTGCAGTGGGCATAATCCTCTCACCACAAATGGCTTGACAAAGGAAGGTATGTCAGATCATTGTATATTTCATTCAAATGCATGTGCTGTTAGTGGCATACCAAGTGCCGACTCCCACCGCCCCAAATTTACGGAAGCCGAGACTGATGCTTCCATGGATGTTGGGTTTTGAAAAAAATCAAAAAAAAAAATCTAGGAAGAGCTATTCTTGCATTCAGCTTAGAAGGGTGTCATTGTCTTTACACTTATCTGTTAATAAATCTGTCACTTATACTCAAATGTGAAGGCTGGGGAGGGTTGGGAAAGGAGGAGGAGGAGGAGGAGGAGGAGAGGGATTAAGAGGGATCATGTAGTTCTCTGTAGCGATTGTCTAGGTTTGAGAAATTTAACTTTACATCCCCTGGTTTTACAAAATGATCAGATAATCAAAATAGGTCAGATTTAATCCTTACCTACTGTAATCTAAGATCACCAGCGAAATAGCTATGATGTGACATACACTGAGAAGCATCAAAACAGACGAGGCAGTCCAACTACCAGCTCAATACTCCCTCAGCCCCTAACATGCAAGAAGAGTGCTATTTGATTATTATTATCAGTCACCCCCCCCCCAAAGAAAGGCAGTGATTTGAGCTTCTGGCAAAAGCATCGCAATCATTTGGATGCCATAAGTAATGCAGACATCCAACAGAATCTCACAAGGAAACCACAATATAGTAGCCCGTTTCCTTCAAAATGGGGTATATGCCCAAGTTCTTTGCAGCATGTGACATTTGGGTTGTTTAGCGGTTACAAAGCAGCAAGCACAACCAAAATCCCATCATTTCCAAGATTGGTAGTTTTGTTTGGAATGCTTACTGAGAAAGGACTGACAGGAATCTCAAGTTACTTATCTGCAGTAAAAAATTAAGACCTGCATCTACAACTGCCTAATGGTCCTTTAATGCCTGAGTGCTTCCCTTCCAAAATCTACCCAACAAACGATACTAAATATTTTAAGTGTTAAACATAATGGTTCTTTCTTTGCCCCAGGCAAAACTAACATGGAATAAAGCTAGCATAAGTATGGAGAAAGCCTGATTTAAAAAGACTGCTTTGAAGAGAAAATGTGACACAATCAGATGTGAATTTTATAGCAATATGAAAAATAGAATGCTGATAGCTTTGTTGAAACATTATAGAAAATATAATTATACAACAATCATACAATTCTAAACAAAGCTCACTCAAAAACTTAGGAGTGTGCATGCCATGGGTTTTCACTAGAGCTGGTTAGGATTTTAAAATTACTACTGACCATTCTCTCCCCCCCCCTTCTGTAAAAGTATTAATGCAGATATGTCAAGACTGTTATCAGGCCCTGGATAATACAGTTATACTCACTTGCTCTGCACAGCCCACCAGATCTAAAGCTCCCCTTCTTATTTGTTCCTTCCAACTAAGAGTAGACTCCCCAAAACTAAAGAATATATGACCATCTAGAACATACAAGCCAATATGTTAGCAATTCACTGTGAGCATGAGGAACTGAAACTCAATGAGGAATCCAATATACAAGTTTTACTCTTCTAAATATAGGCTAGAATCCCAAGAGGCCCATTTGTGAGTGGAAGGCGTGTGCATGTGTGTGCATTTGTGCACGTGTGCATGAGGGGGGAGCTTATACTACACTTCCACAGCTTTCATCGCCCACCTCATTTCTCCTGACCCTCAGAAGTAGATATTAGGGGACACCAGGGGCTCTGAAAACAGTGACTGCGTGATATGGTACACACAGTCCTTTGGTCCCCATTTTGTATTTTGCTAAGAACCCAAAATTTTAATCTATACGTATATATGACCTATATGATTTAGTGTAACATTCCAACATCCTGGTGAAAGTATAACGTATTACGGGAGACTGCGCACCATTGCAAGTTATTAAATAATAGCATAACATAATCAAGTTAAAATAACTAAATTATATTAGAACATTCCTTTTTACTAACAGAAATAAAGTTCTGCTTGGATAATTCTAAATGCTTTATGTAATTTCACTTAGAATTACACTACCAGAATTGTTTAAACATTTAATAAAGTCATCAGACTATAACAAGCTGACATGCTTAGAAAAATGGTGACTGCCAACAACAGAATATTAACTCTCTTTTTTAAAGTGCATTCCTAATAAAAGCTGTGGCTGTTCAAGCAGTGAAACACATCCTAAATATAGAAAAGCTTCACCAAACAGAATCCTTAAGGACACAATATGCTCTATTAAGAATTGCTAAGGACAGCTCTCTCATGTGTCCAACACACTTCTTATTTCCATTTCCCTATTGCTCAGTAAAACTGAACCAGTCAACAATTGTGGCTGAAGTGGTTAATCCATTTTTTGATCCAGCAAGGATTCACATACGGCGATTCATTCAATTTGTTTAAAATCTATCAAAATGTAGTATTTGCATGGTTGTACTGAGATCTGCTATTCATAATTATAACTGCATTGTTACAAATGTATTTTATCCAGTCTTACCCAGAGCCTCAGTTTTAAAGCTACATTTTGTCCTTTATATGCTCAGAGAATCCTTTTTAATAGTCATTCATAACATAGTTTTTGCTCCAAGGAAAATGGCTTGGAGGACCTTAACATGCAGCTCAGAAACTATGCAAGTTTTAGACGGATGCACTGCTACAATTCAAGGCTAAACCCCCCAATTGCTCCTCCTAGTGGTGGCTAATATGATGAGTTTTGTTCAGAAAGACAACTAGTACGTCCATCAAGACATTCAAATATTTGCAATGCATTCCATGCTGTACTGAGAGCTTCTTAATTTGGCTGACTGGAAATTAGAGGCACTAATTCCCTCTTTTATTTAAAATTATGCTATATCTGTTTTACTTTTATGCAATTGTACATTTAAATACACGCTTGTGCCAGTCACCCTCCTTTATAATTTAATGTCATTATCTATTTCAATGTCATTTTTTTCCCCAAATTGAAAGATTTACCCTAAAGATGTATTTACATATGCATCACATCACTAAATTTTGAAAATAAATTAATCCAAAAACTGGCTGAGAGATAGCAAAGAAATTAAATAAATTACATATTTACATAAAAATGTTCTTTTCATACGAGACTTCTATCACTGTTCAAAACCCTACGATTTTGAAACAAATTAGAACTAATTGGGGAAAAACCCACAAATTAATTCATACCATGAAATGAGAGGCTCATTTGTAGGATAGTGTGATCAGGTTTTAATATGCAGTATCATGAAACTGCCATGTTGAATCTGCTCTTGAATATCAATAGGGAATAGCAGGGTGAAATGTATTATAAAGTTGGGGTTATAATCTGCAGCATGCAAAAAGTCTGCCAACCATCTTCTAAACTAACATGACTTCACAGTTTTGGGCTCATGAATGAAAGGATCTTGGGGGGGAAAGATATTACCTTAACAGAGTTTATTGATTTCATACTAAGTAACTATTCTATTCTTTTCTTTTTCTTTCTTTCAGTGGGGTTAGAGAGAGGTTAGTTGGTTTTATATGCACACACATACCCAATATCTTAAATGAACTGGAACAGCTATAAGTAACTAAATGGTCCCTTTAAGAACACAACTTCTTGACCACAACCAATCAGGTAAAGAAAATGGGAAAGGCTAAAAGAGGAGTAAAGGTGAATCAGAGTGTTTGGCGTTGGTTGATGCTGAAGGATGCAGCAGTGAGGTAACTGGACCCTGAAAATTAATTTTGTCAGGTGCATTGGCACACTGACTTTCTGAACACAGCAGGGACCAATGGAAACAAGCCAAGTAATGTTCTGTAACTAACGGAACGCTGCTACAATCAACCTTGCACTGTCTGTCCCACGACCAGTCCATGATCATTTTGCATAAAGGACCTCCAACTGCGAGCCATACTACCAACCGCATACCAAATCAGTTTTAATTGCTAGCAATAAACCTTCCATCTGGTATCGAGACCTTTACACTTGACCCTTCCCTTGGAATCTCACAGTGGTTATGCGTTTGATGTACGCTGGTCCAATCTGACCATCTTCCTGACCAACTCAGGGCTTGATTTTAAAATAAAAAATGCCCAGCAAAAGAACTTGATTTTTTAACAATAGGACACACCCCGATTCTTTTAAGTACTTTATATATACATAAACAATAGCATATACACACATGTGTTTAATAGCATTCATTGGAGTGATTTCACAAAGAAATAAAGTTTGGAAACCAGAGGAATAGAAAATCACTTCACACTGAGGGCTTGCTCCTTACCCTTGCAACACTTTTTTTCATATGTAGACAAGCATCAGAATGGCAAACTGGGTAAGATGTTGGGATATGGATTCGAAGGTGCAATCATGTGATTTGGGGTAAGTCTCTTCTTAAAATTTGCCCTCCTATTAAACAGGAGTAAGTAATCAAGACAACTTGGATGCTATGACTTGTGAAGCCCCAAGAACATTAAAAGTCTTATGGCGATTACGAATATTCAGATTTGCCTCTTGTTTAGCAGTTTTTCTGACAATGGGAAGGGCAAACTTTGAAAGCTTGTCTGCTAACCTTCTTTCACTTTTGCAGAGTTGGTGATTCGCTAACAAGCTTTCCACAACGGAAGATGAACACCAAGAAATAGCAGTGGATCCGAAAACAAAGCATTTCCTTCAATCATTCTCACATCCCATTTCTGGATACTTACAACATGCTTCAGTGGAGAAGGAGGCATTGCTGCTTTGCCAAGATGACCTGGAATACCAAGCGGTCTCTGTTTCGCACCCATTTCATTGGCTTACTCTCCCTCGTGTTCCTTTTTGCTATTTTCCTGTTTTTTAATCACCATGACTGGCTGCCTGGCCGAGGTGGATTCAAAGAAAACCCTGTGGCTTACACTACACGGGGATTTAGATCGATGAGAGGCGAAACAAACCACAGCTCTTTGAGGACCATTTGGAAGGATGCAGTTCCTCAGACCCTCAGGCCGCAGGCGATGGCTAATTCCAACAATACGGAGCTGTCGCCTCAAGGAGTTACTGGTTTAGAGAACACACTGAGTGCCAATGGGAGCATTTACAACGTGCGAGGCACTGGACATCCGACGTCATATCACTTTAAGTATATTATCAACGAGCCTGGGAAATGCCAGGAGAAAAGCCCCTTTCTAATACTGCTCATAGCTGCAGAACCAGGGCAGGTGGAAGCTCGACAAGCTATAAGACAAACCTGGGGAAATGAGAGCTTGGCGCCTGGGATCCAAATTGTTCGGATTTTTTTGCTGGGTTTAAGTGTTAAGCTGAATGGATACCTTCAGAGAGCCATCCTGGAGGAAAGCAGGCAATACCACGATATTATCCAACAAGAATACTTAGATACTTACTACAACTTAACCATCAAAACACTGATGGGGATGAACTGGGTGGCAACCTACTGCCCCAATGTCCCCTACGTTATGAAAACAGACAGTGACATGTTTGTCAATACAGAGTATTTAATACATAAGCTTCTGAAGCCAGAATTTCCTCTCCGGCACAAATACTTTACGGGCTATCTAATGAGGGGGTATGCACCCAATCGGAACAAGGATAGCAAGTGGTATATGCCGCCTGATCTATATCCGAGTGAACGGTACCCTGTATTCTGCTCTGGGACTGGCTATGTGTTTTCTGGAGATTTAGCAGAAAAAATATTTAAGGTCTCACTGAGTATCAGACGTTTGCACTTAGAGGATGTATATGTGGGCATCTGCCTTGCCAAGCTGCGAATTGACCCCATGCCCCCACCCAACGAGTTTGTCTTCAATCACTGGCGGGTTTCTTATTCCAGCTGTAAATACAGTCACCTAATTACCTCCCATCAGTTCCAGCCTAGTGAACTGATCAAATACTGGAATCATTTACAACAGAATAAGCACAATGCCTGTGCCAACTCAGCAAAAGAAAAAGCGGGCAAGTATCGGCATCGTAAACTTCATTAGAACGCACCCTCCTCCTAAAAATATTCCATGTGCAATTTGTAAAAAAAAATAAAAAAATAAAGAGAAAAGGGAAAAGGCTGAAAGCATGTATAGTGAAAAAAAATGTGCTTGAGAAGGACAATATTTAACACCAAGCACTTAATGATGTTTGAAAATTATTTTTTTAATTTAAAAGGGAAAAAATCTAACTCTTGGAAATAATATTATGATGGAAGTATTAATCAAGAAGTTTTCAAAATCTGGGAGATTAGAGAAAGATGGTCTCAAGATATTTGTGTTAATGTGCAATAATAAGCATGCACAGTTTGGTGGTACAATTGCTATTTTATGTGCCAATAAAATTAACTGCGCAAATATTACACACTATTTTTCTTTTTTAAGAGGGATTTGCTCCCAATTTTTGCCGTTAATGACTTCTCATTTTGGTATTCAGAATTGTAATGAAAAATATACATGGCAATTTGAAGAAATCATGTATCAATGAAATGAAATTCCTTCCACTAGCCTAAGAGTCATTTAACAGAGTACACAGATTTTTCATGTGTAATTTTCTGGGATCAGTAATGCTAACACCAGTTTTAAAGAGTCTCTGTGTTTCATATAAATTACCGGTAATAGTCTTGCTATAAGAAAGCTGGCAAAGTGGGATGCAAAATTTCGTAACTTGGTCAAAACTTGGCTCAAATATTTTAGGACAGAATTACATTTGAGACAAAAACCTGTCACTACTAAGAAAACACTGGTACTTTGTCATGTGGCAACATCTTGTGTCATCTTGGCACTTCATACCTAATTTTTGTCTAATGTTTTAACGAACTGACAAAACAAGGATGGCCAATTTGTACAGACAACAAGAGGAAAATGTCTTGAGCTTAAGGACTATATATACAGATTTAATATGCAAAATACACAACTATTGGCATAAGGTTAAAAATGTTGGGGCCTGACATGTCTCTTGTATGATGCCATTCTTCTATGCCATTTTCAGTGAAAACAAGGCTCAATCGCCAGTGATTAGCCCTGCTAGTTAAAATTGTGTAGGAGACTCCGTTATGTAAACTCATATTGTTAGTATCAGCCAAAAGGGTCTATGCTGATGATCCAACTGGAACCTATAGCATGGAAACAGCCATTAGTGTTCCTACTACTGTGCTTCTGTTTCCAGACATGAGAAACACGTGTCCAAGACATGAATTCGGGGAATATCCAACATGACCCCTTACACAGTATCTGGAGGGCAGGGAGACTTCTGAGCACAACAGTATTACCCTGAGGCTTGCCTGAAGTCAACACTCAATGCCTCAGCTACATTTGAAGACACTATGATTTTTACAGACTTCATGATTAACCAAGTATTCCTATTTTTTAAAAAAACTACCATTCCCAAGCCAACTTTGACATTCCAATGAATTCTACAAATATGGTATTTGGTGCCATATTTGGCTGTCGTCCCCCAGACTCATTGCAAATATCCCCCAAATTCTTTACACTGCGCTGTAATTAATTACACATGCTACAGTATGAGGACAAAATACAAGCCATTTTAAAATAAAATCAACATCATCTACCACAGTCCTAGGTTAATATGAATAACTCTCAAAGGCACAAAGCCGTTCATTGTGGGAGTTAAGATAAAAGCCATAAACTTTCAGTCTAGGATAAGGCTTGAATACAAGCTGTTACCTAGCCTTATATATAATTCTAAGTCTTAGTTCTGACCCAGCAATGTACGTACATAAAATGGTAGTGTGTACACAAACTGCATATTGTGTTATTATCCAATCTGAGTTATGTGTCCTTGCTAGACTGTAGGTAGAAAGGCTCAGCTAGTTTGTAGAATGCTAGGATTGGACTACACTGTACATGCATTTACAGTTTTCTAGATCTTCCTCTTCCCCACTATAAAATAGGCTCTAAATATGGTTCTGCCCAGGGACGCAGGTGGCGCTGTGGGTAAAACCTCAGCGCCTAGGACTTGCTGATCATATGGTCGGCGGTTCGAATCCCCGCAGCGGGGTGAGCTCCCGTCTTTCGGTCCCAGCTCCTGCCCACCTAGCAGTTCGAAAGCACTCCTAAGTTCAAGTAGATAAATAGGTACCGCTTTATAGCGGGAAGGTAAACGGCGTTTCCGTGTGCTGCGCTGGTGCTGGCTCGCCAGAGCAGCTTCGTCACGCTGGCCACGTGACCCGGAAGTGTCTTTGGACAGAGCTGGCTCCCAGCCTCTTAAGTGAGATGAGCGCACAATCCTAGAGTCGGACACGACTGGCCCGTACGGGCAGGGGTACCTTTATGGTTCTGCCCACAGAAACCAGGTGTTCCTTCCAGTCACAGAAGGGGCTCCAATGAAGTGGAGACTTCTGCTGGAGGAACAGGAAGTGATTTTCCTTTATTCTCTATAGCCTCATGTCATCTCCAACAGTGTTCCGAAGTGTTTCCTAACTTTCTGGAGATTTAGAGGCAGTACAGGGGATTCCCAAAGGAAGGGGAAATCCAGTGGAGGTGTCTGAGGTGTGAAACTCCACTCAGAGGAAGTCTGGATGCAACCCTCCTAGAAGACTGCTGTCACAACAGGACAAAAGAGGGCAGAAAGGATGGGAAAAGTTGCACTTATTGTATCATAGCTCTTCTGATTAATTAAAATATGCCCATTGCTTTTCTCAGGGGGCTCTCATATGGTTCAATAGTGTCTCTCTGCCCACAATCAATCTAGCTACATATGGCTGTATAATTCTTATTACCTGGCACATACAAATTAAAAATCACGATTCTGTGCCCGGCCTGAGAGAAAATTGCTTCATTGGTTCTTACTGAACACTTGTGACAGCTGAATGATGAGCTCGCTATAAGAAAAATGAGCTGCAGAGATTTTGAAAACAAAATCTGAAAATGGAGGCATTGATAGTCACTATACCAATGTAGATCCGGATTTTGAGGGGAGCAAAGTTTGGTACTACAATTGATTTCTTCACTGACACTCCTCCCCTCCACAACAACACCCAGTCCAAATTCACCTTCTTCACAATCCACGGAAGGTGAGCAGAAGGCAGATTTCTAGGTGATCTGCAGGAGATCAGCAAGGGTTTCCAAGTTTCAACTGCCTGACAATAGTAAGGATTTAAAAGCTTCCCTCTCCTCCTAAACAGCTTAAAAAAGAACACTGGTGAGGTGGTGGTTGTTGTGGAAAATTTAAGAGGAAATGGAGAAGGGCTAAGACCTTTGGGATATTTACAAACATAAAGAAAAAGTATAAAATCATTCTTCTCAGTTACTGGAAATTTCCTCTTCTGTTTTCAATGGGTTAGACTCAGTCTAAGTTGCATTTAGGTGCCACTGAATTTCCATCTTTATTTCATCAGGAACTAGACTCCATTAACTTAATCTGAATCCAAGCCAATGCCTTTACACAGATGTTGCCTTCACATGCCATATTTTTAACAGCTAGGAGCATGTTCTTTAAAACATGAACTTAAATTTGCGGTGCAATTGCAGTTTCAAAATTAACGAAACCTGTGCATCCCTGACAATACATCAATGGATTGAACAGCTACTATTATTTATTCTCTTTTATGAACAGCAGGCCTAGTGGAAAAAGCAGCACATAGGCAAGTATGAGGTCATCTGGTCATCTTTTCTCCCCACCCCAAAGAAATTGGTATGCCATTCCTGTATTTTTGGGTGAGGCATCAAACTTCAGTTCTCTCTCTACGCATGCGCTCAGAAACACACAGTTTCTACTTCTTTGCCTTTTTCTTCCACCTTCCTTTGTTCTCCAGATTTTGCTGTCCAAAAAGCAAGAGATACGCTGGATCAGGCCAAAGGCTCATCTAGTCTAGCATCCTGTTCTCACAGTGGCCAATCAGATGCCTAGGGAAGCTTAAAAGCAGGAGAGGAGCACTCTACTCACTTGTGCTGTAACTGGTATTCAGAGGCATAGGAAGGCCAGTACTGGAGGGCAGTACACAACAATCATGGTTAATAGCCACTGAATAGCCTTACCCTCCATGAATTTGTGTAACCCCCTTTTAAAGACACCCACTGTTGTATTTTCAACTTGTTTGTAAACTGGAGGGGGAAACCTCTTTTAAAAAAACAATAAAAGAACACATTGTTGTGTGAATCAGTTCAGTGAATGGACTTTTCACTCATTCATGTCACCATTTTAAGCATGGATTCTTCCAATGCACTCTATTCAGGCTGTATTTTATTTACAATGTCTATACACTAAGCCAAACGATCTGAACTTCTATTCTGCCTTGCTGCTGGACACCATTTCAAGATAATTCAGTTGCCCTTATTAGGCACAGCATCCATGACATATGACAACTGGCTATTCTATCTATGAGAAATGAACTTGGCGTTTGTTTGGAACATGCTTACAGTCAACCAGAATCTGGAACCCTTCAAGAGGTTACACAATCCCATCTGGCATGTTCACTGGAAGGAACACTCATGACTATGTTTGAGGAGGCCTGGTTTTTTTAATATAAAAAACTGGGTTAGTATATGCCATATGCCATTTGAAATAAGAAAAGTACATTTTTGAAGTTTTCCACAATGTTTTACATTAAAGTTTATTATTTCAGCATCTACAAAGTTCTCCTTTCAACAAAAAGGCTTGCATTATAAACCTTAAATTTCCCAATTTTAATACTGGTTTTTAACTTTCTACAGATTGTTTTGTGAGTTATGTATTGCAACAAACAACTGACTATGATGTGCAACAACAGTAACCTTAAGAGTAACGGTCATACTTAAGTACTGTATTTTTCCATGTATAAGACTAGGTTTCTTCCCTAAAAAATAATGCCAAAAATTAGGGGGCATCTTATACACAGATACATCTCCTCCCATTTTCTTAAATCTGAGTCCCCCAAAATAGGGGGTGTCTTATACATGGGGGCGTCTTATGGACGGAAAAATATGGCATATGATTCACACTTGCTACAAAAAATGTACAAGACTTTTCTATGTACTAGATCATAGTTTTTCTATTTTCAGCCACTTCTGATTACCTCTCACTATTCTTCATTTCATTAGAGCATTATGCTCTCAGGAGAAAGCGAAGACAAAAACAAAGTTAATATTCTCAAATTACTTGGAATGTGCAGTTACAACATGTTATTTTAACATAACTTATTATATATGATTGGCCATAAGAGGTGCTAATGTTCAAATCAACCCAGTCTGGTTTACTGCAACTCATTAAAAACCCCAAATGCATATACTGCAATTAATGAATTATTATTCCAATCTGGGCATCCCAACACTTACTCTCTACATGGAGGCAAGATGTTTTAGGCTAAGAGACATTACACAAATTTATGGGATTGGGCTACCAGAATGCCAATGGCATTGTTGT